TCTTGTACCTGCCTGCTTTTCTGAGTATTTCAAGTAAAAGTTGGGGTTGAGGCGGAGAGGCCTGCCTGGAGGTAAACAAGTGGATTCCGAGCCTGTAGGAAACGCTTAATGGTGTAAAACAGCCAGAGGTGTGAAGTTAAGACCTTCTTCCTGCGAAGGAAGGGCTGCTCTAGTTCAGGTGGGGAAACCACTTTTAGAACACGTCACTGGAGCTGGGCAGAGCAAGTCCTGGAGCAGCCTTGGCTTCTTGAGCAGTGTAAACAGGCACGATTCTTAATCTTCTCGTAACACACCCAGGACAAACTCAGCGCTGAGCTGAGCTCCCCAGGAGCAGCACCAGAGCCCTGCATGCAGTCCCCCCATCACGGGGCACCCCACACGTCACAACTGTCCTTCCCTGCACCCTAAAAGATACAAGAGGCAGCTGGCACCCTAAAAACCAGGCAGGATTGCCAACGCCCTGGGAAGAAATAGATAAGAGCTGCACTTGCAGCAATACACTGTGCTGGCAGCTGTGGCATCTTGCTTCTCTTTGGTCTCAGACTGCTGAGGGCTGGATAAATGAACCCGGTATCCACCTGGACACGATGGGTGCAGGTTGGACGGGAGCACAGTCTGGTACCATCACAGAAGGAAAGGTTATTCAGGAGCATTCAGCTTCCCCTTTTACCTTAACCCAGAGGAACTCGACTGACTTAAAAATCTGCTGTATCTGCAGAGTTCATCAGGGCAGTAAAACCTGCCTGGCTGAAGAGCAGATGAGTGATGTTCTCTGAGGGGTGGTCATAAAGTTAATGCTTTTGTTTGGGATTTGCTCTGGGCTGGAGGCAGACACACAACAGAGCAACCGTCATAAAGTTAATGCTTTTGTTTGGGATTTTGCTCTAGGCAGACACACAATGGAGCAACCCATAAACATCCTGTATCGTTTACTCGTAGCAATTTGACACTGAGTTTTTTTATTTCTTCATGTGAATAAAATCTAGTACATTGTATAGATTATTTTTTAAGGCCTTTCTCCAACTGAAGAAGAAATCTGGCTGACCTGTGCTGCTTCAAGTTCAAACACTGACTCGTTCAGTGTGTGCCAGACAAAAGGCTGCAGGATCAAGAGGGATTATGCTGTAGTGTATAATTCAGTGTTACATTTTTTTAAATGTAGTTTTCCTACAAATAATTGCACCTGAAAAGGACAAGCGGGTTTCCCAAATTCAAAGTTAAGCAACCAAGAAAAACAAAAACAAACTGTATAATGATTCATGTAAATTTTACAGACTCTTAAATCATGTCTTGCAGGCAGAGCCGGATTCCTTTCCAGTGAGTACACAAGGTAAATAAGCTTTGCAATTATCAGCAATTATCTCTGAAGAGATTAATTTTTGCAGATGGTGTTTTTATGAAACTATACAAATCAGGTTAGCATATATCAGTGCAATAATTACTTTAGTTTTCTATTTTAATGAAATAAAACTGTTGAATAAACAATTATGTTCCCAGTGCTTATAAATATTAATATAAATCTTGGTCAGCCTTCAAAAGAAAGCGGTTTTTCAAAAGACTTATTTTCCCAGAATATGGTTAACGAGCCATTGTATTGTCACTCAAAAGTGCATCAATTTTACCTTGATAGAGGTAATTATATGCAAAACAAATTACACACCCGTATGATTATCAAGAAGCTTGATAATATTCCCTAGCAGAAATCTTTGAGTTCCTGTACCTCCTGCCTGGTATTCAGTAAACCCAGTGGGAGAACCTGGATGGAGCCACCAGCTGAGCTCCCCTCCTCACCCAGACGATGCTGAGATCTCCAGGCTCCCTCCAGAGCTTTTCCCTTCTGCTGTAAGATCCAGGTGCAGCAGCAAGGAAAGCAAGGAGCAGCAGCCAGGGCCCAAGGGGAGCAGAGGTCCCACTCTGGAGCTCCTTCTGAGATTCCAGGTTAGATATCCCAGCTGTTACCAGCTGGGTTGTTCTGCCTTCCATCCAACCATGCTCCCAGCTGCACAGACCCCCCACTCCTTGCCCAGCTGGGGGTTTGTTCTCCCCAGACACCCTGTTCACTCATGAAAAGAAAGACATTCTTGCCTGTGAGTGGCACCAGCAACTAGGGAGGTTCACACCCCTTTCGCTTGGTACCACAACTGAGCCTGGAGGAGGAGCCAGGTGGTGAGCAGAGGACGGAGAAGTCTGGTGCCAGGAGGGGGGGACAGGTTGGTGGAGCTGGTTTATGATTGGACTCAATGACCTTAAAGGTCTTTTCCAACCAGCACGAGCCCGTGGGGCTGTGACGGCGCCACCGGGCAGGAGCTCAGCTGTCCCACGGGAATTTATCCCCCAGGATGAATGCATAGGCACCGGAATTGGACCCAAAAATAAAGGTATTTTGGAGGAATGTCCCATGGAGAGTTCTTCCAGAGTAACTCCAGGTAAGTATTTTAAAAAGCTGAATTTAAAACAAACAAATTCCTGTCTCTCTCAGCCCCGCATCCATCAGGCACTTGGGTGCAGTGTAAGGCTGTGCAATGGGCACCTGGGGGTTTACTCTCCAAAATGATGCCCCTTCCAAGGTGGAAACCTTAGTTAGGGAGCCCCTGGGAGAGCCTTAATCATTCCTTCACCAAAGAGTCTTGGCTGTTGGTCTAACCTGGTGACCAGGACGTCTGTGTCACCAGGGGATGGGCAGTCACTGGCCTCCCTAAGGCAGAGCTGGTGGTGCCTGGTGCTCTGGGAAGCATTGGCACTTCCCTCCCTTTTTCACAGGAAAAATATAATTTAAAAAGTTAAGATCATTTTTAACATCCCTTGTGGCAAAACAGCAAGTTCATTAAAAAGCTTTTCATCACCCCTCCCCAGCTTCAAAGCCACGCGCCCAAAACCCTGTGTGACGTGTTTTGCTCCTGGGGAGGTTTTAAGTGAAGATGTTCTCAGAGGTTCCCGCAGGTGAAGCAGCTCCTGCTCACCCCTCCCCTACACACGTGGCTTCAGGTCTGTCCCATGGGGCAGCAAAAACACTCTCCAGACCCAAAGCCTAATGCCCGTGGGGCTTCTCTCTCTGCGGAGGCTCCGGCATGAAGCGCAGGGACAGGGAGCAGAGCCCAATGACAGCCAGGCTGGTGGCCACGCAGATGCCCATGGAGCAGAGGGTCTGCAGGGAGGAGGGCAGCAGGGGGGTGGGCAGCAGGAGCTGGTCCTGGTGCTGGGCCATGTCTATCATGATGGCCTCCATCTGGAAGTGCGTGCCCAGGATCCCGCAGACGTGGAACACCTGGTGGCTGTGCCCTGGAACAGAGCCACCAGCACTCACCCAGAAGCTCCTCTTGGCCTCCTTAAAACACCCCACCCGGAGGGCCCAGCAGAGCATCCCCCTGCTCCAGGCTCCACATTTTAAATATTTACTCGACTAATATTTATGCTACTCATTTCTGTGGCTTTTGTTGCGGCGCCGCCAAAGCACCGAGACCCTCCTGCCCAAACTGCCACCAGCTGCAGAGGGAGGGAGGGGATGCAGCTCACTGCACGGGGTCCTGGGGCCCTGACATGGCACTGGGGAGCACCAGGGTGCCACAGCTGAGGTCATTCTGCGTGAGAAATGAGTGCTTTGGGATCCTGGAACCCTCTGTGAAACCTCTTTGAAGCGGCTTCAGGAGCTGTTCCCACTGCACCAAGGCAGGACTGATCCCAGGGCTGAGCAGCTCTGCTCTGGAGCCAGGCTGGGAGAGCTGGGGTGTTCAGCCTGGAGAAGAGAAGGCTCCAGGGAGACCTTAGAGCAGCTTCCAGTGCCTGAAGGGGCTCCAGGAAAGCTGGGGAGGGGCTTGGGACACGGGCAGGGAGGGATGGGATGAGGGGGAAGGGTTTCCAGCTGCAAGAGGGGAGATGGAGATGAGATCTGAGGGATAAATTCTTTGCTATGAGGGTGGTGAGACCCTGGCCCAGGTTGCCCAGGGAAGCTGTGGCTGCCCCATCCCTGGCAGTGTTGAAGGGCAGGTTGGATGGGGCTTGGAGCAACCTGGGCTGGCCCCGCGAACCGCGCAGCGGACAGGGCCAGCAGCGGGTGCGTCGCTCCCCGGGGTCCCTCACTCACCGATGTAGTCGAAGTGCCCGGGCGCCAGGCTCTCGGGCAGGCGGCTGGCGAAGACGAAGCAGGTGAGGAAGGCGAACGCGGTGTGCCTGTAGTGCAGCAGGACGGCGGGCTCCGAGCAGCTCTGTGCCGCGCACTGGTACAGCTGCAGCACCCGGGGGGTGTCCGCGGGGTGGGCTGTGCAAAGGGAAGGGGAGAACAACACGTTTCTGTGATTCCCCCCGGCCCGCACCTCTCCAGCTGCTCATCACCCAGCCCCATGGTGCACGGAATTATCACCCCAGTTGGAAAAGACCTTGAAGATCATCCAGGCCACCCCTTCCCCCCAGCCCTGCCAAGGCCACCACTGCCCCATGTCCCTCAGCACCACATCTACATCCCCCACCATGGTGGGGACTGCACCCCTGGAGCCTGGCAACCCTCCCCGGGAAGAAATTGTTCCCAAGATCCAACCTCAGCCTCCCCTGGCTATTACCCCAGGGCTCAAGACAAAAGCTGTCACCTCCATTTTATGCAAATCTCATCCCCATCCCCACCCCTCCTGTCCTTGGACCTCCCTGCAGCCAAATTCCCACCCTGCCCCAGCTGAAGAACAGGAAAACTTGCACATCTCAAAGGCAGCAACTTTCCAGCAACGTGTGAGGGCTTTGAAGTGGGAGGAATCTGCCCATCAATGGGTGCAGGAAAAAATAACCCAATCCCTTTTCCTGCTGGAGTTTGTTTTCCTTTCAAAAACAAAAAGCCTGGCAGGTTTTCCCAAACATTTTCAAAGATGAAGCAGCTGGTGTTTCCAACCCTGCAGCGAGCAGTTGTCATACCCTGTAGAAGAGGGGGATGCTGTCGAAGAGGTAGGGGTACATGAAGGCCAGGGTGCGGGCAGCCTTGCTGAGCCTGGGCCTCTCCACCTCCAGAAACCTGGGGAGAAACAGAGACAGGATTTATTTCTTTCTCCCCCCTTGCACAGCACTGCAGATCAGGCTCAGTTAAGAGCTGGATTCTGTCTGTCGGTCATTTCTCCCTTCCCCACGGAGAATTCAGGCACAGCAACAAGATTTGGGTCTGTTGATGGGGTTGAAGTTGCCACCACCCTCAGCTCACCTGGCTGAACCTTCCCTGGCTGAACCCTGAGCTGGGGGAAGAAGGACTTAGGGGCCAACCTCCCTGTTACGTGCTCAGGCTCTCGTAGGTGCATCCCTGTAGCTCTGAAAACCTTTTTCACATCATCCAAAGAAGCACGGCCAGATGGTCAGGAGAGGTGGTTCTCCCCCTCTACTCTGCTTTGGTGAGACCCCAGCTGGAGCACTGTGTCCAGTCCTGGAGTCCCCAGCATAAGAAGGACATAGAACTCCTTGATCGTGCCCAGAAGAAGCCACGAAGATGATCAGAGGGCTGGAGCATCTCCCCTATGAGGACAGGCTGAGAAACCTGGGGAGGCTCCATGGTGACCTTACAGCAACTTTCCAATATCTGAAGGGGCCTACAAGAAAGCTGGGGAGGACTTTTTACACGGGTGTGTAGTGAGAAGACAAAGGGCAATGGTTTGAAGCTTAAAGAGGGGAGGCTCAGGTTGGACATTAGGAAGAAGTTCTTTCACGTGAGGGTGGTGAGATTCTGGAGCAGGTTGCCCAGGGAGGTTGTGGCTGCCCCATCCCTGGAGATCTTCAGGATGGGGCCTTGAGCAACCTGATCTAGTGGGAGGTGCCCCTGCCCATGCAGGAGGTTGGAACTAGATGATCTTTAAGGTCCCTTCCAACCCAAACCAGTCTGTGAGTCTATGATTCCTGGCATGGCTGGCTTTGCTTCTTTTACCATTGCTCACCACCCATTGCCCCCCAGCAAGGAACAGAGCTGCTATTTCAGCAGTTCTTTGTAACCAAGTTTGCACTCTGGGTTTTGGATCCAGCAACCAAGGAGAACAGATCAGCCCTGCTTTGGAAGGCCCTGGGGGTAAGGCAGCATTCAGGCTGTGATTGCCACGGGCTGTGAATTAAGCTGTACCACAGCTTCTGTTGAAGGGCATGGAATGTTGCAGCATCCTTCTTTCTTACACCCTGCCAGCACTTTGAGATTGTCATTTCAGAGAGTGCATGGAGAGAGTTATGAAATCACAACGTAAATTAATGAAACAAGTTGCTTTTTATTGTGATCACCATTATAAGAGAAGGAGCAACATGTTGGTTATAACCATACCATGTATGAGGGGGAAAGTCTATGTCTGGACAGGGAACAATAGTCTGTTCCAGACTGGGAACAGAAAACCCCTCCCATGCCTCACTGCTGGGAAAGACCAACTTTGATGGGGCTTTAGCCCAGTGTGGAAAGAGGGAGATGAACATAAGCAGAATTGCAACAGACCTGCACACAAAGCAGAAGGACTCTCTATATATGACCTAAAATATGGGTTGAAACCTCCAAAATTCAACTTATGCTCAAGAGTCACTAACTGCAAAAGGGCTTTTGTCTCACTCCTCCTTGGCTTGGCCTTCCACTGTGGCTTATGGCTTGCTCAGGAGACATCATGGTGCTGAATT